TTCAAAATAAAAAACTTAACCTCCCTTGAGTTTTTTTTTTTTTTTTTTTTTTTTTAAAAAAAGACTTCCATTCAGCTATCAAGGATTTCTTTCCCCGAATTGTGGCCCCATCGTTTGGATGTAAATAAACATTCAGAGCCGATGCTGAGGAGTTGAAATGTTGCCTTTACCTTAAGGTCTGAAACGCCGCCTGGAAGAGTGTTTCTGCCATTATTGAGACCCGAATAAAGGTCAGTGCTCCTTGATCTTATGGTCACTTCTCTCCTTGGGCTGTTTGTTCTTTAGACTCTGGAGTTTTTTTTCTAGTCAAAGCTTCTGGGTTTCCTCCTCAAGCACATCTTTTATTTTTCATAAGGACCACATTAAAGCCAATTTTACTCAAAATAACTCGCCAGGAGGGAGAGGAGGGAACCGAAGACACAGTAGGGCAGATGGCTTTCGTGCTCCAAAACATCAACGGCTGGATGAATAAAACATTTGAAGAGGGAAAGATTCGTGACATCTGGAAGTGAGGAACTTTTATTTTGCTTGCTCCCCACACCACTCCGCTCGCCGTCCTCACGTTTCTGTCCCTCTGTGGACTCAGGAGTTCAGCCGGTCAGTCAAACAGACAGAAACAAGCCTGCTCTCCGACTTGTTTCTCCTTTTTATTCTTTGTTCCACCTTGCTGTACCCCGCGCGACGCTTCGCCCCATTCTGCTCCCATCTTCTCCGCCATCCGGCTCTCCGTCTCCAGCTTGGCGTGTGATGGTGCGTCCCCTCCTCTCGGCCCTGGAGACATGCCTGTACAGGAGATGGCGGTGAGTCCTGTCAAGTCCCTGCACTGGGAGCAATTCCCCCCCATGTCGCAGCGCCGTGTCTACTGCACGCCTGTCTACCACGAGGGCCTGCTCTACGTGCTTGGGGGCTGCAGCGACACCGGCACACCCCTGGACAGTGTGGAAGTTCTGGATGTTGAGAGCCAGACGTGGAGCCAGCTGCCCCCGCTCCCCACTGCGCGGGCGGGGGCTTCGGCCGTGGCTCTTGGGGGACAGGTGATGGTGCTCGGAGGAATGAACCAGCAACAGACCCCGCTGGCCTCTGTGGAAATGTACCACCCAGACGAGGGCAAGTGGGAGACGAAGGCCAGTCTAGGTCAGCCTTCCATGGGAGTCACCGCCGTGGAGAGAGGTAAGGCGGTGGAATCAGTGTTTGAGACGTTAAATGCAGCTGCTCTCTTCTGAGAAGTTGTAGGAGTTGCTTTTATGATTTTCGAGATGTTAACTTTGAATAAAAGTCTGCTGACTTTTAAAATCATAGTATTGTATTTTTGAAAGAGTAATAAGTGAATGATAGCTTTGGAAATCTTAGAACTGCCTTGACACCCGATTATTGGGAGGGAACTTAAGATAATCTTAAGATATTTTCCTGCTGTGTGTGGTGTGTTAGGAGTGATCTTATCCGCTCTGAAAGATGTCGGGACCGCTCTGATCTAAAATCAAGATCTACAATAAGATATTCAACATGTTGGATTGTCTTGGTCCGATATCGCAGTATGTATGGTGTCCTCCCAGGGACAAACAATAACACTACTTGTTGAGTCTAACATGTAGCCAATTATAAAGCGAGGTGGCAGAAACATGGAGGGGAATTCTAAATAAAGAAGACAAAACATCTGGCATGACGTACCAGAAAGTTTGGTGAATTTCGGAGACGTCTTTGTATTGTTTTTTCTCTTTTAAATATAATCCACAAGCCATTTATCGCTATTGCCTCTTCCCAGTCAGCCATGTTTGTTTACTCCGAACTCGCGTTTGGTCTCGAGGTTTTGGGAGATTTTCCATCTGACATCTGAATGTTAGCAAATGAAACTGGTTTGTTTTGTGGTGTGTTGTCTTTGCTGTTTGAGTTGACACCACACCGTATGACTAAAACAGAAAAATATATCCAAGATTTTTAAATGTCATGTGTGGGGTCTCTCAGGTTCTGAAATCATCTGACAATTTTAAAGTCTTGCCATGTGAACCAGGCATAAT